CATCTTGGACTAGAGGTATAGTGGGATAATAAACTTACTTGTATACAACACCGAGTCCAAAGCCACCAGTCGCAGTCCCAACAACGGCTGCTACAACATTCATGTGGCAGGTACTTTGGTACTCAGATTCTTTCGCATATCCTGGACAGCTTAAACCATGTGCAAGGAAGCATAACGATATTAAAATTTCGGCACGACATAAATTAATCATTATAGAGGCATAGCTGAAAAAAGATGTGTAATTTTTTTCTGAAAAAAAATTGTTTGATAAAAAATATCTGAAGTGAAAATTAATAAAGGAAAAACTACTGAATGTAGAACAAGATGTAATGAATGAACTTGCCATCTATTTGCCGATGATACAAATTAGCAAACATAGCACAAAAAAAGCTTGTCAGCAGCTAACAACAGAAGCAGTGAGCAAATAAGTTAGAACTTTTTTTTCTTAGCATTTTCAATGAACAACCGTACTCGGTATGCTGAAAGCCGGATTTCTGCATTACAGTATAAGCTTTGTAGTGTCGTACCGGAGGACGTCCTTCATCCACCAACTCTTCGTCGTCAGTCTCCGAACTCTTAATCAGGCAAATGTCAGCAAAAGTGATGATGTTTGACGTATGTTCTGCAAAACGCAGAATTTATCTGTCACATCTGTACACATATACTAAATTTTTAGAGTATTTCTACAGCTTTCATTGTTTTTTTTTTCGTCTTAGCTTTTGTTAGCTTCTCTGTTTTTTCTTTTCCTTTTTTAGGGGAGTTTGTTTCTATTATTATTATTACTATAACCATTACTATTATTATTCTTATTACTATTATTATTATTATCGCTGCTGTCATTACCGTTTTCTGCTGCTTCCAACGCATGTAGATTAGTTTTGAAATTACACCTAAATATCATTAAAGCAAAATCAAATTTTTTATTTTTGTCTCTGTCAATTTTTGAACCCTACTTTCCATTGCGGTTATTCAGTTTTATTTTTCAACAAGGAGACAAAGAAACAATGAGGGGAGGAGAAGGAAGAGGTGAGAAAAAAGGCAAAAAAAATTGAATGTAAAGAAGCAATCTTATCGTCACATCCAAATAACAACGATTATCACGCTGTTCTAGGACTTACAGAAAGAACGGGTGTCAAAAAGGAAGCAAAATCAATTCTATTGATTCTGTTAATTTGGTACACAAAAAAATTTCCAAAAAGATATCACCATTGCAACAAAAATACTGCCAGCATCACTGTGTTCTCACCATTCTCTCAACGTTTTTGTAAAAATTTTCTTCAAAACATAAAGAAAAAAAAGTAATGAAAAGTAATGCACACGTAACATAGTAAAAGCGGAATATTTCTGTTGTTTTTATTTTACAAAAACGATTTCTTTCATCGATTTCTGGTGACCTAAACAATTACCAAAAGAGAAGAAGAAAAAAAAGAAGAAGAAGAATAGGGAGAAGAAGAAGAAGAAACTGGTTATGGGAAACAATTTTGACTATACATTCCAGCAGTTGAGTATCAGCAGCAGATCAGTACATTTAATCAATTTCATCTTGATTACCCTTTCAATCACCAACCAATTAATCGGCGACAATAATCACCAACAGTTTCTCAGTAAAACGACTTTGGGTCATGTAACAAATAAAAAACTGGAAGGGAGGAGAAAAAAATACAGAGAGAAAATCTCGTGGAAAAATAATCTTTTGAAATTAGTAACATAGCTTGCCTTTTTAAGAAAAAAAAGGAGATAAAAAATAAGAAATAAAATGTCAGCCGGTAAGTGAAATTATTTTTTTTTCACAAATGTTTAATCAACTTTTCACTGATCAAACGTAATTTTGAAGATGCTAATGTCAACGACTATCACGACTATGATCATGCCGGTGACAATGGTGACAACACTGATGATGGTAAACTGTGTTTTACAGTGTTATGGAACGGTCGTTGTTACGTCACCAGAAACATTTATGATGTATTTAAGGAACATAAAGAAAAAAAACAGAAGTTAGAAAGAAAGGTGACAAAAAAAGAAGGAGAAGAAAGAAATACTAGAAAATAGATTTTACTTTCCAAAATAAAAAATTCTGTTTATTTAATTCACAAAAGAAGAGGTTTTTTTTAAATTTATCAAGAAGGAAAATATATGCTATAAAAGTAGCAAAAAAGAAAAAGATGTGAAACAAACAGTAAAATATAAATGTAGTAGGAAGTCTGATAGCCAATGTGAAACAATAAACAGTTCAGTTTTTGTTGAAACTATTTGAGTATTATTAGTGATAAATAAAAAGCCTTATTCGTTTCCCATTTCCATCCTCCGCTTTGTCATCCCCTTCCCGGTTCTCCCTCTCATTTCCCCTCCTCCTCTCTTCACCATTTCTCTGCTCCTTTCTCTAGGAATTGCAGTTTCTTCAACACAGTTTCATCATTTGAGTAACCTTTTGCACAACACGAAGTAAGGCGAAACAGAAAGCAGTGATATAGAACTTCTGTCAACTATTTTATTCTCTTCTTTTGTGCTTTTTTTCCGCCTGCAACATTCAGTTGACCTGCTTAATAAATGGAAGTGTTGTCACTACTACTTTTACAAGCAATTAGCTATCAGTTTTCCTCTTTTACCAAAATTTAATTTTTGACAAATATATATTTTTTTGGCTAAAATTTAATGATTTTTACATAGTTTAAATGACTGAACAGTATCAGCAGTTCAGGAGAAAAATTCGCAGTTTTATCTGTCTTGAAAGAAACGTTCAACATTACACTGATAACAACGATAAACAATCACCATAAAACTTTAACTGAAAAGTGAAAGCAGTCAAATAATTTCAACAATTGAGAAACAAGTTGCCGAATTCACAACTTTTTTTTCTTTACCCAGCGCTTTTTTTCTTTTTTCCTTTAGTTGTTTTGCTATGAAATAACAGCGCAATTAACAAAAGAAAAACAAATGATACAAAATGATATATACGAATACTTTATTTTGGTAGAACTGTTTTCGGCATTATGCCATCAGTGGTATAATACCACCTATGAGCAGTATGTTTCAAGTGCACCTTCTTCTGTCATACTTGCGAGATGATCGTTTCAGTAGTTCAGTAATAACCGTCATAATGGAGGTTATAAGTAAAAAAAAAAAAAACAGTTCAATCTTACTAGAACTACAAAGAGAACTAGACAAAGACAAAAATAATTCATACCAATTTTTGAACAATACGACAGGTTGCCGGATCCTCAACTGTACGCAGCAGATCCATTGTCCTTCTGCAATACAGAAGCTGATAAAGTTCATTTTTACTTTTGCCTCTCTCTAATCCTCGTGAACTTTTCTTTTAACACTGTTTTAATGCAGCGAGAAAAACAATCAAAAATGAAAAAAAACTGAAAAAACGTTAACTTGACAAAAACTAGGTTTTAAGTTGGTAACCAAAAGAAAAAAAAAAAACGACAAAAAGACGAATTTCATATAGACATCACAAATAAAACAACAACAAATTAAAACCTTTAAAAACTGAAGATGTCAGTTCATAATGGTTATCATTAATAGTCATTAAACAATAACATAAATTTTATTTGGCACTTCATCCCAAATATGTATTGATGAAAAACTGTATTTTATCTTAAATTAGTGATGATGTAAAACTGTATTTGGAATTAGAAGATACTTCTGCGAGCAGCAGCAGCAGCAGCAGAACCGCAGCAAAAGCAGAAACAAAATAAATGGCAAACAAATTAAATACGTAGAGAAACGGTGTAGAGGAAAATGCTCTCAACAAAGTTGTGGTTTTCTGTTTTTGCTTTCTTTTTTTTTTTTTTTTTT